GAGATGGAGGAATGGAACCTTTTCATCGAGGGTGTAGATTTCGACGGTTTTTTTTGGATTTCAGCAAATCTGACCCAGGGACAAATCGCGCCGCAGCTGCCGTTGAATCGGCCGTTGATCGATACACTCGGCTGTTGTGATTTTGCGTATGCTCTGTTTTAGGGGGGTCGTGCCAAGACCTCGATTTCAGGGGGGGGGTCGTACTTCTGCGACCACGTCCTCGACACGATTTTCACCCTGCATTGAAGCCGTTTCATGGAATTTCGTTACAGGACCCACACAAACTCATGCGAACCTGCACATTGAGCTAACATACTGCTTCCTTCCTTTCTTTTTTCTGTTCTCGTCGTTTTTTTGCTTCCTGCTAGATTCTATCTGGGCTTCTCACAGAGAGGGTAGTTAGTGAATTTCGTTGAAAATTGTCTCTTGAAAAGTTAAAGTGTTGACACTTGTGTAGCACTGGTTGTGCATCCCTGAACTTCCTAAAATTCCTTGAAATTGAAGGTGAAGAGCAGCCATATTCCAAATGAGTTTAGGTTCTTCTTCGTTGTGTTGCCACTCCTTCAACGACCATAACCTCTCTAATGAACATTTTTGTTAAAAAAAAGGTGAAGGGAGCTTCAAATTCGCATTTTTTCTGCTCTATAAAAAATGTAGAAGTGGCTGGAAGGTTGCAACTTTCTCAAATTTTTATAGGTTTTTTTTAATAACGCTGGAATTTGCATGTCTTTGAGTAGAGAATTTCTTCGTGTCACTTTAACCCTTTGACGACAATGCGGATTTGCACGTAGCGTGCTCGTGGGACCACGCCTCTTTTTGGCGCGCCCAACTCTCGCACAAAATGGGGCAAAATTGTCCCTAAAAGCAGTTCTATCAAAATTTTGACTATGACAATAAACAAAATATGACTGCAGTCTTAAGCTTTATGATCATGTATTGTTGGAATTAGAAGTGGAAGTTTGGAAAGAAATCTCGGATTTCAAAGGGATGGTGTTTGAAAACTCTAGAAGTTCAAATGTACAGTAGAATTTTTGATATAGTTCAAACTCCTCCTTGTGTCTTAAGACTGTGAAAAGACGTAGAGGTCCTGATCTGTAATTCACCTTAAGCTTAATAATGTAAAACACTAGTTAATATCGAAGTGCCATATCCTAAAATTCATATAAATTAGCTAGTAACAAACATTTCTGCAAAATATGCTAAACATAGGCGTAACGGAGCTTGCTTATAATTACTGATATGTTGAAAATGTTTTAAATGGGTAAAGAAGAAAATTTTAGGGTGGCACCCACCATTGGGTGCCATTGTCCCACGCGACGGTCATAGTGGCACCCACCGGTGGGTGCCATTGTCGCCAAAGGGTTGAACAATTCCTCCAGAAAAGCTCTCGATGAGGTTCAAACACACATATCTATTGCAGCGAATATAAATTGAAGAGTATGGCATCGGTCACTCGCTCAAGATCGCGCCATGCATTCGACATCCGTCGTGTCGCGGTTCTCATCCACTCCCAAATTGGGCTGCCGCTGCTCAGATAATAGCTAAGGCCGATGTCAGACTTTGCGAATCGCGATTCGCTAGCGTCTGCGGTCGCGTCGCGGCCAGTGAATCACTCAATTGGCTGGTACCGCAACGCGACCGCGGACGCTAGCGAATCGCGCGATTCGCAAAGTCTGACATCGGCCTAAGCCCACCTCTCACAAGCGTTTTCAGGCGCGAATGCGGTACGACCACTGCAGTTGCAACCCCAATAACTTGAACCATCCAATGAAACTGATCACGCGGTGTCCTTGAACGCTGCCTTCGGACATTCAGTTACTCTTGTAAAGGGTGCAGTGTGCTTGCGAAGCGATTATATATATACTTATACACATAAACTTTTTTCTCCGCTGGAATACAAGTGTTCTTCATTCAGATATAGTCCATATTTACTATTAAACTTTAATCAAAATTCATATCATAACGAACGAATTCAATGAGCTCGGCGTCTTTGGGCACTCGTGAAACTGCACTTTTTTGAATACACATAATTATTATTGTGCAACATGGAAAGCAACAAAATAAATAAATTAGAGAATTATCGAACAAGAGCAAGTTTTACAATAAATAGACCAGAGCAGCAAGTAAAAGCGTCGGCGTCGTGAGGAAATTTGATGTAGTCGATTTTGGCCGTTGAGTGGTCGCTTTTGAGGCCGTCGTCGGCTCTGGCTCTGGATTTGGAGTCGTCTCCGATGAGTACAGTCCGATAACTAATCCTCCCTTAAGATATTTCATTGAGTTCGTTATTCGAGTAAGCAATTTTTGATCGCAGATATTGTCCTCGGAGATTTCGGGATTTGTAAATAAATTTGAAGACGTTTCTAAGCAGCTTTGAAGTTGTGCTGGTCGAACACAAGTTCTTCGAGGGTTATCCGTTGAAAATTGCATCTTAAGGCTATAGCCAATTCCGCTCTGGTCCAATCGCGTCTAAACAGATTAAGAAAATGGGGGCAAATATTTTGAAAACTCGTATGTTGCACCGTTCATCCTTGACAGTTCTGCTCTATTTCACACTTCTTCTCGCTACAGAATTTTATTGCTTTTTTCGAACTGCTATCGAAACCGACTGAAATAAAAAAAAAACAATGGGACTAATGCAATCTAGCTTGCGCACGGCAATGTGAGCCTCACTGAGGCCGCCACAGGCAGGTGGCATGATAAATTGGATGTGAAGAAGGAGACTACCCACAATAAAGGGGATGGGTCTCAGGGGCCGAAAAATTCGCATTTTCGCGGCAAAAGAGAAGAGTGGAGCGAAAATTAACCAAAGTTATCTTTTTTGTAGGTCCCCTTTGGGGTGCCTGTGCTTGATTTCAAATATTCCGCCTGCTGCGTCTACGGTCAGAAAAACACTGACCGTTTTAGCAGGCGACGCTTAAAGGCAGCAACGTTAATGTCGATTACGTCATCAAGCTTCGTGAAACCCACCAAACGGGAAAGTTAATGGAAAAAACGGGGGTTTCAGCTTTAAAGTGCCTTTAAAGTAGCTTCCATTCATTCCTTCGCTGGAGTTGGACAGACTCTCAGCAGCTGGGCTTTGGGTAGCTTTCCTCAGTTTCTCTTCGCTGTTGCGACTCTCAGCAACCCCATTAACGAAAGCAATTTATCTATTTAATCAAATTCCCCTAAGTATAGGAGCGATTGTTGTTTGGTTCTTACCGCATAAGAAGTATTATAGAATGGTGCGCGCTCACAGGAAATCGACTTTATAAGGTAGCAGGAGAGTACCGTAGAATCATTTAGCGACCGCTATCGTTACCTTCACCGTTGCCTCAAATATTGTATTATAATTTTAAGGGGAATTCAAAATTGCCTCTCTATGTAGTCTTGAGTTTCCCTTTGGCCAGGATTTATACCATATACAGCCTAATCGTTCGAAGAGAAATGTGAAGGATATCAGTTCACTGTGAGATGTGAACTTTTATCACATCGCTGCGGCCAACTAGGTCACCGGGCTATTCAGACTGGGCTACCTATACGATCCGCAACACCTTCGCCTTCATCTTGATCCACCGAAAGGAAGAGTTTACCACACAGATTTGAGGCACAACATGAAATCAGCCTCAAGCTCCAGTTGACATTTGATTTACCCAAAACAGATAGAAGGTGAACGAAAAAACGGAGACTCAACATCCTTTTGATTCCCACCGTTGAAAAATTAAAAAGTGTCCTTTAACAAGTAATCGATAATTATGAGACCGTTCTTAACTGTTCAATGAACAGAACACTTCACATTGCGATTAAGGTTTACTAGACATTCAAAAAAATTCCACTTTCGATGGTGGCTGCGTATGAACACCAACACCTCGTTTAGCCAGGATAAATAAGGAAAAGGAGGAAGACAAGAAGACTGCCAGAACTTGAACAAGAAGAGGTGCGAGCAAATGCGAACTTGCAAGTTCTCAAGAAACCATGCGTTCGCTACTAAGCCTACTTAAGCATAAGATCGGCCTATACATGAATAGGGGCGGAAGTGGTGTAGTGGCAAGTGGCACGCTTACCACGCGAGCGGTCCGGGGATCAAATCCTGGGTCGTGAGTCGCCCGGGCCAACCAAGCCTTCCATCCCTCCGGGGTCGGTTAATTGGTACCAGACTTGTCTGGGAGGATAAAAACACTGACTTGTACATCGGCTGGCCCCCGCAAGTCATTGTATAGGCCACATCGCATTCAAACGCCACTACGAATGTACAAATGGAAGTAGAATGCGTGCCGCATCCCAAAAAGGGATTGATCAACGGCAAATGCTTTATCCTTTATCCTTTATATGAATAGAGATCCCAGTTAGCTGAATATTTTCTCTGTTGCACCATCCTACTTCAAAAGCATCCCTTGTTTCAGAACAGTAGCAACAAAGTTGAGACTAATGAAAATGGGTTACTTGACAAACTAGCTTCTGTGGGCCAGCCTGTGTCCAGCCCAGCCCTTCTACTTGACAGACAGACACTCATTTATAAATCACTCCAAAGAGGTGAAGGGCTTGCTTGCCATGGAGTGATTAGTAAATAATGTCCATGCTGAGTGATAACCCCACTCCTTCTCAAATTCAGCCTATGTATGCTTCCGAAAAATGGAAAAACATTTTTAAGCGTGATATTAATACGAAGAACATCAAAAAATTCGGCACTATTTACCCTTTACTGCCCCACTCCTCAAGAACTGAGCCGGATTTTGATCGAAATTCGTCCATGACTGTGGATTTGGCTAGAAACTTGCCTTCGGGGGTATTTCGACCCGTAGAACACGAATATCACACCGGTTTAGCGCGAAACGCTTGGCGCCCGCGCCACAGGCGCCGGCGCTATCACAACAGTTTTGCGCGGGCGCCCGTAGCGCAGGCTACAGGCTCACTCGCAACGAACTAATGTGATATTCATGTTCTACGGGTCAAAATACCTCTGAAGACAACTTTCCAGCGAATTTGGTGATCCGAGATGTTCTGGCGCCTTTTGGCGCCGGCGCTTCTGACGCGAGCGCCAGGCGTTCTAGCGGTAAACGAATGTGATATTCGTGTTCTACGGGTCGAATTACCCCTGAAGGCAAGTTTCTAGCCAAATCCACAGTCATGGACAAATTTCGATAAAAACCCGGCTCAGTTCTCGAGGAGTGGGGCAGTAAAGGGTAAATAGTGCCAAAAGTTCTACTGGTACCCATATAAGGGAGTTCCTCTTCAATATGCAAGACGAGCATGATGGGAATTACACAAATAAGTCAAAGAGCCAAAGAGCATACAATAATAACAGCTGTCTAAAAGATGTCGCTTTAGATATGGTGTGCTAACAAGAGATTTGTTCTCCTTACGAACGCAGAAAAGATTCTCGAAATCCAAAAACGCTTCAACTCTGAACACCTGCTCACCTTTCCATCACCGAAACCGCTATCAGCTGGATTTCCTGGGACGCAGTTCACCGTGGCACCGATTTCCAACGTATATAACCCTTCATTGCACACGCATAGGGTTCCGTTACAGTGTGAATCCAGAAGACATTCTTGTCCATTCGCACACAGTCCACCTTTAAAAGGAGATCATTTTGCAGTTGTGAATATAAGAAACACTTTTTTGTCCCTCGTATGGGTATCACTGGCTCAGCTCTTTCAAAATGGCTTGCAACAAGGTTAACCGTCAAGTTAAGAAGAAATTCCAAATTGGACGACCCCCCGTCTAGGCGGGTCCCTAACATGACCCTACTCCAATAATCTGTGATGTACAGGTCGTTAGGTGATTAATCTTAGCACACTTCGAAAATGCGCTCTCAAAAATAACTAAAAGAATGTTCAGTGCATCTGCAACTCCTGCAAATTTCGTATCAAATTCTCAACTTCCAGCTTCTCAGAAATCTGCTCTATCTCATGTCTCCCCTTGGACGACGGAAACGCCGTTTTTCTTCCTAAGCGACCCCTCCCAGAATCGCAATATACTATACGTTAGTTAAAAAAAATCCCAAGAGACAGCTGACTCCGGCTGACGGCAGGGTGAACCACAAAGAAGTTTCGACCATAGACCTCTATTTCTTCCTCACCCTCAATCCTTGAAGTATGTACCCCCCCCCTCGATGGTGGTTCGATGGTTGGTGATGTCGATAGCGTATTCATCCTTTAAACTATGAACCTCACTGAACTTCATGAAATGGCAAGGGAAGGGGGCGGGGGGAGGGGGAGGCAAAAGCAACCTTGACGGTTTAGGTCTCTTCACCACCTATGTACCTGTCTTTTTTTCGTTTACCTCCTAGATATTTTTGACAACCTCACTCTCTTTCAACCAAGACAAATACGACCACGATATTCTGTCATTGGAAACACGACTGTGGTTTGCCCTAGCGATCCCTGAGCTATAATATCTTCAATATTCCTAGAATTAAGGGTATTTCAAATGAAAATTTTCTACGTTCCCTTCTCTCTATCGAAAGAAGCCTTAAAAATATGTGCTAAACGAAATCACAACAAAACAAGAAATGGGTTATTGCCTGTTATGCGCGTGTACTCGTATTGCCTATTCATACGACCGCAACGCGAGAGCACGCTTAGCTTCCACCTGCTGCGGTTGCCAACCCATTTAGTGTATCACATAAACCAAAAAAGAAAAAAATCATGAATGAGGGATCTAAGTAGATCTCTCTCACTCAATAATGATATTAGGATGAAAACTTGCCAGGGAAGGCAACGCGATCCTCGCTAAGGATGCCACTACCACCGTCCATACCAGCTCTTGGCTTCGGGATTTCTTCACTAAATTGTGCAAAATTAAAACATAGCAAACGAATGTGCTTAATTGAGTGTACGGAAGAAAGTAATCCAGCAGAGAAAGTAGACTGTAATTTGAAACTAACGCAGTGAAAGCTGCGCCATCACCATCCCATCCGAGTACGGTCTGATCGATCTCGTTGGTGTTCCTCAGCCAATCCGCCAACGGTTCATAGTACTCCAGCAAAGGTGATGCATCGAGCTGAGCTGAAAAAGAGGAAATATGAAATTTGTTAGGAAAAATTAATTGATTTTCTCCACCACAAAAAATAACCAACAAGATCCAGTAATCTGTTCCAGTGCTTGTAACCATGTAATAGACGATCCTTTCTTCATTGTCTCGCGAAGCTTCTCTGTGGTAACTTCAGAGAGAATACATCCTTCGCTCTGAACCCAATTTTCATAATGTAAACAATAATTCTACAGTACCTAGCACTTGATCTAGTTCAGTCACTCACCAGCACTGTTCCAGCTGGGCACATCGATTTTAGAATTTGGAACTGCACTACATAACTGATCAGTGACTTGATGGCCGGTGAGTGAACCTAAAATCACAGCGATTTGTCTCATACAAGGAATCCGGATCTGATTTGGAAAGGGAGCTCCACACGAATCCAGCTTACTGAGATCGAGGCACTCTAGATCCTTGAGTCAATTCTAAGAACTTACTTGCGAAATAGCACTGTGCATGAGAGCGTCCAAATTGGAAGAGTTGTAAGGTTCAGGTGCACGGACTCCTTCGTACTTGGTTCTGAAAATATGATTCTGATCCGAGCTATTACTAAATAACCAATATCAAAAAGATGGGAATGTGGTTCGGTAGAGAATGAAACTGCTAGATCAGGAATGGTGAATCCTGATCTTTTCTGAGCTCATCTAAAAAGGCGGGACGAAATTTTTGCATTTTTTTTTGGTCCATAGGCATGTTCTTCAATCTTATCATCACACTGATTTTTCTCCTTCTTGGGGAAGTTTATACTTGAGAGGGGTGAAAATGTAGTTCGGGGGGCACCCTATCTAATCGAAGTGGAGTTGCGGAAAGACACACATATCTAATCAAAGTAGAGTTGCGGGAAGGCACTTATATCTTATCATATCTTTCACTGAGACCGTGGCCTACGACTAGTACGTTTACCCTTGTCATATTATTCTATGGCTGCTACCTTGCTGGCTCTTCACTTTCCCTTCTTGCGACTGCCATGCGAGCCCTCGAAGAGAGGACCTTTCAGGTATCCGATTTTGTATGGAATCTCGAGTTGGTATCCCTATCTAATCATACATTCAGAGACTGTGTCTGGATGGTGATTGGTGACTGTCTGATAGTCACCACGTCCGACACACTGATTACCACTGGAGTCGAGTAAGGACACGTCTGTCAGTTATGAATTAAAATATTACTACGTATGAGCAACCACTACGAACTACACTTTGAGTCAGTTCCGCCTACACTTCAGAGGCATACAACGTAGGTTGCACCGTTGATGTACTATGAAGCCATGTTTCTGTATTTCCCCTCTTCTCAAGCCAGAGTAAGCGCACGGAGACTATACAGTCGTGTGCTTATATACGGATATGAGCCTCTCTGCGCGACCACTCTCGTAACGCTTCATACGAACCTTGACGCACAATGAACCATCACATCCAAGTTCGCCCGGCTAGCGTGTTCTCGATCATCCACCAATGAGATTTTTTCCAAACGAATTCGGTAAGATCTATTGTGTTTTGTTTCAACACGATCCAGTCCAAGTTAACGTTACGACATCGAAATTATATCTCTCTAGAAATCATGAGAATGGTGTATTAGGAGGATATGGATATAGAGTCGGCTGGAAATCGCCATGCAGTCCATGTGGTTGTAAGGACCCTGCAAAGCAAAGCAAACAGTCTCTTCAGCCAACCAGGGTCAGCTGTCCGTTAGGGACAAAAGTTCGAGAGGGGTGGCGGCACGTCGTAACCGAAAAGTTTCTGGAAAATCGATCACCAACGTGCTGAACGTAGGACTTCTGGAGCCAAACCTTTGCATGCTTAAAGAGATGCCTTAAATACCATTTCCAAGCAGTGTACGCTTTACCAATTGAAGGAGATTGCAATAAGCGTGCCCATGCTCTCCACTGCTCTCTCCTACTATCTTCTCGACCATGTGATTGCTGCGAGAGGAGTGAGGCCGCCCGAATTCATCGCGATGGAACTCGTTCCTTATGAGTGGAGAAAGAAGAGTATTGGGCGTGCGTAGAAGTTGATTGTGTTTCTGCTGACCTGAGCACAAAGGTATTAAGTGGATCTAGAACGTGTGAAAAGTTTTGACATATATTTTTACAATATATTACCTATAGTATCTTTTTCGCGAGCGATTATATGAGTAGAAGTCTTATGCCTAAACCAGTGAAAAACATAAGAAGCACGAGCTCTACACCACTACAAGCGACAAACAGGAAACATTCTGTAATTGCCCATATATACGATACACCTCAGTCACACTACATACAGTAATTGCGGAGGTGCATTATAAGCTGATGAATGAATAGTAACTATGAGGCCACTTCCTCCAAACATGCCTCGTAGTAACTTCCAATTATTAAAGGAAGTAGGTACGGAAAGGAATTTTCACATCTGCGGAGAACCTGCTCCCCACAGAGCAACTAGCAGGCCGCCAAGGAAGCGATGTGTGGCGCTTGCACTGCGAACAGTGCTGTGGTTGCTGAGCAGGACCATTGCGCCCTTCCGCCCCATGCGCCGCCCCGCCCCATGATTCATCGGTGGCTTGGGCGAGCCGTGTTGCCAGCCGCAGCGCGGTTAGGGCGCCATGCCTGCTGTTCGCTGCCCAGCACGCGTTGCGCAATCTCGTCCACGCGTGCGCGGTCTTCGCCGCAGTCCATCTGAGAGCCGCAATAAACGGCCCAAAAGGGGGTCCCATTTCTCGTTTCCTGGACCGATTTCGCTGCTTCTTTCGCCACTGACGTACCATTGAGGACCCCCTCGTCCCCTCTAAACCCCATTCAAACCCGCGTATGGCGGTGGAACGTCTAGCGTAACCGCTACCTTTAAGTCTGGCAGTACTGCTCAAACTGTGGGAAAATATATAACACGGAGACACACACACCGGAGATAAGAGCGCATCTTAGGCAGATACAATGTAGTTGTGTCTCATCAACCTCTGGCATATGTAGAGACATTGCTTCGACGGAATTGGCCGTTTTCTACCTTCCGTTATTACCCTACCAAAGAAGAAGTGGAACATCTTATGCCAAAACTTAATTTTGAAGGTATATTCCGTTCTGAGATCAGTTTTTTTTTAAACAAATGCTTCCTCGAATGAGGCAATTAGGATCCGCACTCAATGAGGTGATGCCACTGTTGCAACTCGTGATAAATGTGGAACGATCAATAGGTCTTTACTATGCCCTTTACCATTAATCTGCCTGACCGCTAATCGCGTGGTGGTATGGTGAGCACATCTACAAATGCAGTCACAGTTCAGCGCTCGAATCGGCTCGAGTGACCTTTGCCGTGCACGAATATCTAACTCCTCGATTTCGACTGGACGCGCAGTGCCTCTCTCAATAAGATACCTCATTCACCAAAAAGAGGATTCTCTTAATTTCTCGTGTTTTCAGCTGTCTTTGTTTCGTTTTTTTTTCCTCTAACAGTTGTACATGGTCCGCCCCGTACGTCAGTTATTGCACCACGACAACGAATTGTGGATTCGCGGATGTCCTTTGGGAACACACGCAAAAATCCGGAGAATATTCTAAGCAAAGAGTCGTCCGCATATCAGCAACCATCTACACTACAACGTGAATGCAACAGACCACATAACTTACCGTGAGCTCCCACCCAATCGACTCCGTGATTTGTATCCACGCAAGGGGTCTGTTTATTTTACGCCTCAAGACTGCTCGTTAGAGCCTCCACTAATCAGCAAGCGCATTAGATCGAAGTAACTGACGAAGTTTCCAACACTTCTTCTGGAAACAGTTATCTCATTCAAAGTGTGCCCGCTAGGTTAACTATGTGAGTGACTGGGTGTCATTAGGAAAGCTTCGAACACAATCACAGAAAGGTGTTTTGCCACGCATCTGAGAAACAATACACTTCGAAATCGGCAGCACAGTTGAACCGACGAACGAATCGGATGAACTTGCCAACTTACAACATAATTTTTGGATCTTAGCTGCTGATATGGTCAAATTGAAGCTCAGATAAGGCCGATGTCGAAAATGCATGGGGGGGTGTATGATCTCTTTTTACTATGAATATGGAGCAAAGCGGAACCGTCAGGCATGCCAGTGCCATTGCAACCACCAGAAGCTCACATACCAATAGATGTCGCTGATTAAAAGCCGACTCCGGATGTTCATACTAAGTGGTGAATTCGCCACTTAGTATGAACATCCTGAGTCGGCTAGAAAAGCCACTGCATAGTGGCCTTTCTAGCCGACTCAGGATGTTCATACTAAGTGGCCAAATTGGGGCCAAATTGGGGCCCACAGCCGAGTATTCAACGCACGAGGACCGGTGATCAATTAGATCTTGAAAAAAGGATATTTTCCACGATAGCTGAGCTCAAGAGGAGGGTTCGCAGGACGTCTTTCAATGAGGGTCACTCCTTACTGAAAACCCCCAAGTTGTTTGCGGTGCAATGTCGCGCGTCCTTAGGTAACCGATAGAGGTAAATCGCTTCGCATAGGACAATTTCTTTTCTGTGATTGAAAGTCCGAAAAACTGACTTGTAGAGCTTGTTGACGATTAGCGAATCCTTGATGTCCAGATGTGATGCGGGGACCAGTTTCTAAACCAGAGATCATTCATATCAACCACATCATTACAACATCGTTTTCATATCTATGTAGTACCTGAGAGTATAGATAATGAGGATTAGTTGACAAGTGTGCAAAAACCCTGGCGATTGCTTCACTGATGGACGATGAAGCCGGTTCCCTGGAAAACGAAGGCAGAATTCCAACCGGCTCGCGGATCACATGTGTAAGAAATTACAATAAAAACTAAAGTCATTTCGTCCTTTCTTTATTCCCTACACTTCGGAAATCTGAGGGCCATTATTTATTATTTATTATTATATTTTGAAAATAAGTTTGCTTAGCAGAGCGGCTGTTTGAATTTAGTTACTGTAACTAAAACTTTCACATGTAACGCTCAGTTTCAACTGGAATTAAGTGAAGTTGAATGACGTTTCGTAATTAATGTTCCACTTTTATTACCAAACATTACATGGAGAGCTCCTTCCTCTTCCCAAAAGAGTAGGTATAAATAACTCAGTGATGGTTCAACATGACTTCGAAGCGAGGGATTGCTATAGTGTGTGCAGCATTGAACTGCTTGCACCAAAGTAAGCCTTAGCCAGAGGTCAATGGAAGCGAGATGTAGCCTCTCAAGGATAAAAGTGTGCTAGCTGCAGCTCCCTAGGGCCGCAAACTTGGTTAGCGCCACCCCCCCCCCCTACTGGTGTGCTACCACTAGCAACGTCGTTGGTTTTTATTTTGAATAGATATTTCACTTCGAGCGATCGTGTAATTCAGTTTGTCTAGGTAATGCGTTATCAATCAAAGCATGGGGTTTGTCGGCACGGTAGTAGCTATCCGGATCAACAAGTTCGTACTACCCCTTACTTGAATAATGGCCCTCCCATTGTCGGAGGTCAAGATCCGAAAAGGGCGAAATTTTGCGCGTTTTCTACGAATTTTTCTGCTTTTTCTCCGCCTTTTGGGCATTATCCCCCCAATTCGGATGGAAATCTAACGCAACCTTATCGCAATCTCTGGCTTTGAAATATGTACTTTCTTGATAAGTCGTTTAGCAAGCCCCTCTGCCAATGATATAGACTTCTAGAATGTGTAATAGATTCAGTTTAATAAAATTTTTTACAACGGAACCCTGAAGAAGAAGGTTTCTGTGACAAGCGGGGTGACCTAATTAATTAAGTAAGCTGAAGAAAAATCTGGTTCCACCCCTATCAACAAGTTCTTACAAATTTTCTGACACGTCAAATGGCGCTAAAACTGCCACATCTCCGCACAACTACCACACTTCCTGACATTCAAAAAGAATCAGCAATAAACTTCGCAACATTGCAAATTTTTGGGAGTACGTTTGTGAAAATTCAAACCTGAACAAAAACGGTTGTTGCCTGTAGAGGTATTGGTAGTATACTTGTGCCATAAGAGAATGAGCCAGCTCGAAATCCGGCATACCCAATTGTGCGCATGTTTTCACTCTAAACAACTTATCATATCAAAGTAAAAAGAACCAGATAAAATTGGTAACTCTAGGCAGGAAATAATCAAATAAGTGATACTGATAAGACGTACCTGTAATCGCTACCATCCCTCATGTCAAGGGCTGCTGGAGGATTACAGATCATATCACGACTCCAGACTCGAGCGAAGTGCGAATTCGTCCAGAACGTTTTTGGCAGTGAAGGAAATCCGATTGATTTGAAGTATCGATAAGCCTGAAGTCGGTAAAACAGAATGTGAGTGGGCCAACAGCCATTTGAGTTTAATTTTCCAAATCAGGATTATTTGGGTGAAGAAGAGCAGGTGTCATAAGGTTCGACAATGAGGTTGAGATCCAATCATCTTGCAGGTAGCCTCTCGAAAGCGATATGGGTCGGGCAAGAACGCAAGAACACCGAAGTTTTGATGAATTTCTCCTTATTAGTGAAAGCGGAGACAGCGTAGCGGAACAGCTTTGAAGAACTCTAACAAAGGACGTCGGAGAGCATTATAGAAGATGAAGGAGAAACGATAAGACGAAACAAAATAGAAACAAGGGCAAAATTAAACATGAGTGGAACATTCGCAGAGAACGACGCCAAGAGACCCCTCTGTAAAAACATTAGAACTCAAGCCGTCCAATACGCCTTGCTTGCGTAGCAATGTACCACGAGCTCTGGCTACCTCGCTTTCTGTACGTTTGTACCGTCAGAATGGGTTCACGTAGAGGAAAATGGGTGTTACCTTAACAAACATCTGCTTTGTAGTGTAGTTCTGTGTATGGAATGCGAATAACATGTCCTCGGGAAGGGTCGATTGGTCATCATGGGGTTTTGTCTGCTCAAAGTGTGCCGACCAGTCACCGCCCTCGACAGAGCCTGAAGTAAATTTAAATTTGCTGGCAGAAACAATAAAAAATTCATGAAAAAAGTTTTATCGATCAGTCACCCCTAAACCCTCACTACCCTTCACCGAATCCTTAACACTAAAACCTGGCCGTTGGGTGAAATTAACCCAGTACCTATTGGCCTGATACACCAACCGTACCGCATGCAGGTTTGAGTCCGGCTCAGCTCACCCAGCTCTTCGATCCTCATCGGAGTTGCTAGATAGAACCGAAAAGTCAAAGCACCGACGTAAGGGTACACTAGCCTTCACAGTTTGTTATGTGAGCCAAGTATTACAAATGTGCATCAGCAATTCCATTATGGAACACTCATATAAGGAGATACTTATCAACTAAGTTTTAAGCAGGTGTAAATAGTGGAGGGGAGGACATCAGGGAGCAAGACGAGTAAGCAAACCAGCCCTTTTGGCGTTTCGGCTGGGACCGTATGCTGAATGTTGGGGAGGGGATGGGGTCCCCAACGGTCGACGGTTTACTTCAACTCGGTTGGTACGATAGGAGAGTACTGACGCAAGTGGTGCAGCTGGTCCAGCAGCTCCGCCAGAAGGGCTGGTTTGCTCACCCCAGGACTAAGCCTTGGAGAGGGGACGGACCCGTCCTCTCTTTAAGGCTTAGTTCTGAGGTAAGCACCAAATTGTGGCGGTTCTAAGGACCGAGTTGAAGTGGTCCGTCCACCGTCGGGGACTCCATCCCCTCCCCAACATTCAGCATACGGTCCCAGCCGAAGCGCCAAAAGGGCTGGTTTGCTTACGTCCAAGACAGAGCTCGTCTAGGCAACGGTAATCCTACATGCAGAGGAACGAGCTCCGAGATGAGGAACTAGTCTTTTTATGTAAGAAGGAAATTAAGTGAGGGTAAATATGGAAATGGTTATCATGGTTACAAATGCATCTGCGTCGTGATGCGCGTTCCCCCACCTACCCTTGCGCCTAATCCCCCTTAGCCCAAAACAAAACACTACTAAAAAATTAAAAGGTTACCGAAGAGATGGGCTGGAATTGGTCCATTCTTGCTGAGGCCAGGCGGATTCGAGTAGATGCCGGCAATTTGTCGTCGAACATAAGAATGTAACTGAATAAGGCAAATTCAGCAGTTTGTGAATAAATCAATACATTTGTGGCCAGCAATACTGAAATCTACGGTTGAACTTACTTGTTTATACAGTGGCTCAATTTTTTGATAGATTTTCTCGATTTGGTCTTTGAGATCGAAAGCTGGTGGAGTGTTTTTTGCAGACAAATCGAAAGCACTTCGCCACATCGCTCCGCCATCCGTAAAACCGTTTGCTTTAGCTCCTTAACAAGGAAAATATTTAATGAATCAACCACAGTCAGAGAAAAATGAGGAAATTCCTTTCATGAACGAACCTTTATTGGTGAATGCTATCAATTTTTGATATGTAGGTTTCAGTTTTGCCACTCGAGTGAGGTACGAGATCCAAAGATGAGAAAGTCTTTTGCCATCTCTCTCCGTGCGGAATATTGATTCGAGGTCAATTTTCCTAGAAATAAGCTGAGGCATACAGGATTAATTGCTACCAAACATTCGCTAAGTTCGGAAGACTTACTTCAAAGCACATGGAGGTGGTACATCGAAGATCACAGATCGACACATCACTCGCCTCTCGATTCAACTGGAATGCAGTGAGGATTTTTACTTTCATCTCATAAGAATTACAAGTATAAATGTGGATGGAACTGCACGAGAACTTGTACGCTGTAATGCTTATATGTACTCTTCAAGGTGGCTGGCTGTACAGCAGCAATTTTTCCGTGTCATTAATTACCATTCTTTTTTATTACATAGTTACAAGGCCCTTGGAAACACGTGTACATATTTGAGAGGAAGAACAGACCTGAATAGAATGAAGCAATAAAATCGGATATTCGGGATGAAATATTGTGTTTCTATTTCGATATCTATGACAGAACCAGTTTAGCTTGCTACAGCGCACATGACATGGAAGGCTTCGGTGAAAGTGAACAGCCGTTGAGTTCCAGCGCTAGC